GGAGAAGACGGCGCCAGACTGGTGACCTCGGAGTCGGTCTTGGCGTGCATTGAAGGCAGTTTCCGATGGAGAACCTTCAGAAGGATTTGATTTGGGGGAATACACTTCAGTTGCAGTGAGTTTAAGGCTTAAGGGAGTGAAAATGGTGACGCCATTAGAGACGGCGACGCGTTTTGTTGAGTTGTGTACTTAAAAAGGGAAAAGGGTAAAAAGGTAATAATATAATATCTGGCGTGAGGATGAAGATGAAGGAGGAGATTTTGAAGCAATGGAATTTACTTACTGACAGCTATGTTACAGTTGGCACCGCCACCACGAATCTAAATTATTGAACACGCTAACACATAAAATAAAAAATAAATAAATACGTATAATGACCGTGGGCTTGGGTTTTCATTCCAATTTCCAACACAACACCAGGTTGGGTCCAGTGTGGTGAAGAGAAGAATAATAGTAGTACAAAACACACAATTTAAATATTATTGTAACAAGTCTATCTAATGTTGTATCATATACACTTTGGTGTGTAAGTTTATGTTAGAGTTTGAAGGGTTCAGAAAGGAAAAACATTAGTTAAGAATAGCAAGTTGGTACCAACAAAAAAGGGTATTATATCGAGAAAACTATTCGATTGTTCACCGCCATTAAATGTTTGACAATTAATTAAGAGATATGCAAAAACATTTATTTTTTTATAAAAATAATGAGTTGTCAAATTTTCAGATGTGGTGAGGAAAAAAGGAGCCGAATATTTTCTTTATATTGAAGTCTCTCCCTCCATAATGACATGAAGATTTGATTTGATTTTTTTTATGCTAATCTACAAATGTCATCCATTAGAGGATATATCACATATCCCACCGACTCCAGCGTGCACTTTGAGACACAAATAAGTCATAGTTCTCGCACCTACCCCTACTCTTATTGAATTTGATAGGACGAGCCTTCCCTCACCATATTTTAAAAACTTTTCCCAACGTTTTTTTGGAAACTGTAAGGAGTGGCATTTTCGTAAGAAAAAGTTCTCCGTATATTTTTTAAGTTTTTTCTAATGTTTTAAAACGTGGAGGAAAACTTTATTTATTGTGGTGCAATTCTACTATTCCAAAAAGAAACCACTAATCAACTCATATGGCCGTGCGCTGGTAACTCACCAAAATTTTCACTCATAACATCTAATTATAACTAATCAAGGAGTGAATACTATTGGCGTTAGGTAGCGTCGGTGGTGAAGAGGCACGGCGGAGCTCAGCATGTGAAACCAAACCATTAACCATGTGCGCTTTTTTTTCTTTTCTCTTTCTCTTTTATTTATAATTAAAGTCAAAAACTTTTATTTTATATTAGTTGGCGGCGAGTGGTTCTGTTTCGTCTGTCCTATAAATTCTTTCTTTTAATATTGGTTTTGGCAGACTGACATCAAGGAGCATGTAAATTAAGGGTATGTTTGCCCGCCCGTTTTCCCATCTCTAAGCACACCAAACGTCATAGTAATACGAATACCACATTTAAACTCTACTCTCAGAACATTTTCTTTTCTGCTCCTAATATAATTGATATATCTAATATTAAATATATGAATGATATTAAATATATTGCTAATAAAATCTTCTTTTGGTTGAACATTTTGATTTAAGTGATATTGTAAATTTTTTATTGATATATAAAGTATATTAGTGATACACTTCATTTTAAGTATACCATGATATAAATGATATATCTATTACGAAATATATCAGTCACACTACATATATTATAGACATACTTCATTTTAGGTATATAATTGATATAACTAATATACATAATATAAAGTATATTAGTTAAACTAAATATATGAATAATATACTTCCTTTGAGCTTAAGATTTTGATTCAAGTAATATTGTAAATTTGAGATTATAATAAATGTCTTTTATTTACTAAGTTATGTTTATATTAGTCTCTCAAGATGATGTTAAAGAAATTCTCAAACACAAAAATAAAAATACTCGAACCTAGCACAAAATTAAGCATATAAAAAATACTCAGAACTTGGTGACACAAAATGCCCATAAATCCAAATAGTTAAAAGCATTCAACACAATTAGAATAATCAATGTCTGTAAAAACAGCTCATATCCAGTTAAGGACATGCAAATATAGCTAGTCAAAAACTTAAATAATAATAATAATAATATATTTAAGGTTAAATTTGACTCATCCACACCTAATTTCATGAGTAAAAGTTAACTGTTTCCTATAGTTTAGGTTAGTCCTTAAACTTTGGTCAATCTTTCTTTCTATAGTACAAAATCTGAAATTATGCCCATGCTGATCAAGTTGGCCTATTGATATTTAATCTTTCACTTGGATTAGGTTTTGAAGGTGCAAACTGCAAACCCAAATAGCTGGGTTTTCTTTCTTCTAGCACAAGAATTTGCCTAATTCAATGCCTTCCCAATTCTTCCATATAACCACTATGCCAATGCTTTCAAGTCTCTTTTGATTTATGTAACAAGAAAGAATAAAAGTGTTGAAATAATTAACCAAACCATTTATTTAGTCATTGACTAGAATTAGCCTTTTGAAGAATTCATGTGCTAACCATGGATTTGATTGTTGACTTGTATTAAGTTTCTTTTTCTTCTTATTGGACAAGAATTTGGCATGATAATTCAGTCCCTTCACTACCCATTTTTGCTTTTTAAAAGACCAATATTTCTCGAGTTTTCTAGATATGGTAATAATCACATGCATGTGAGGCAGATATATGTTAACTCCCATAGGAAAAATACTAAAAACCTATGAAATTTTTATTGGTAAACAATTGTACGTGACCAATAAATATCTAAGTATTATTCTTTTGATGTGATCTGAGCATGAAGTTGAGGTCAGTGACCACTATTGGACTTCGTGCTACATGTCCACCTCCGACCTCCACCCAACTCAGATAACAAAAAACAACATTGGGATCTCTTTGAACTATCCAATGACCTAGCTGTACTTTCACCGTAAAGCTCAGTTTATGATTCTTTCCCTTGAACTCCAATTTATGTGGCTTCACTGTCACTCGAACCCCATTCCCATTCATGGGTGTCAGTTTTGCTTCATATGTTGTTGCCTCCTCCACAACATTCGTCACTGTCCTCTTAAATTCTCGTGAGATCTCCATTTCTGTGTTTGAATCACTAGCATTCACAATAACAATGAAAGAAGGGTAGTTCAAATCCAACGACGGATTTTTGCAGTTGTTCGAAGCCGATCGAGTGATTGTTTGGATTTGATTTTTGTTGTAGTTCAACGCACAAAGAACATTTACGTAATCTTGTATTTCCATGTCATAAATCAACCCTGGATCAACTGCTTTGTTGGGATTAACATGGCCAGAGCCCATCGCCAGAGGAGTCGCGAGTTTGTTCTTCTCACCAAGGTCTTTGATCGGAGTTTGTGTATTGTCAACAACGTCCGCCGTGGTCATCATCGCAGACCGTATCGCGGCAGGGCTCCATCGAGGGTGTGCAGCCTTGAGAAGAGCCGCAACCCCTGCAGCATGTGGGCAGGACATGGAAGTCCCTGACAGTACATTAAACTTGCTATAAATTGGCCTTGAATTCACGTCCGTTGCCGCCACTTTTAGAGGCCATGAAGCTAAAATTGCATCACCAGGCGCCATGATATCAGGCTTCAACACAAATGGGCAGCTCTCTGCTGGCCCCCTTGAGCTGTAACGTGCCACGCTAGGCGCTGGCTTCCTCCCGAAAATCGTCTTGTGGAAACTCACCCTTGCCTTTGGGTTAGAGCTGGTCCTGATGTAATGTTTTATGATATTTCCATTAGATGGGCTGAGGAAAATTGAAGGGAATGAAGTTTGGACCGAGTTATCCCAATCGGAGAGATTGGAGATAAAAACTCCAACGCCAACTTTTGCAGTTTCAACATTATCGACTTGTAAACTCAAGGAGTACGAGTTATACTCATCCTTGTCTTCACACACCACAATCTTATGGCCAACTTTTTTCAGTTTCTTCAAATTGTAACATCCACCCATGAAAACAAGGGGGAGTTTGGACGTAGCCATGCCTGAGTTTAAAGGAAACAGAGAAGATCCCAAAACTGAAACTCCATTGCCAAGTCTTATTGTACCTCCAAAATCACGGTCCATTGTGCCAGCTGCAACGTTCAAAACCCAAGGTGCTCCGTTGTGCACGGTCCCGAGCTGAGGTCCCTTATTTCCAGCTGATGTGGTGACCAAAATACCCCTCTCCACGGCAGCGAATGTCGCTATGGCAACCGGGTCTTCGTACAACAGAGCCCCGTCGAGGCCGAGCGACAAGGATAGCACATCCACGCTATCCAAAATTGCCTGATCGATTGCAGCGATCACATCCGATACGTAATTACCCTCTTCCCAAATGGCCTTGTATATGGCCACCCGAGCTCGTGGAGCCACGCCTCTTGCAGTTCCTCGACCATAGCCGAAAAAAGATGCATCTTTAACGTAGCCACCTGCCGCAGTGGCTGCCGTATGAGTTCCATGGCCATTGGTGTCATTCGTATAGTTCATAGATATTGTCACGTTTGGAAACTTGGCTATCAGTCCTCTGTTGAAGAACCTAGCTCCAATCAGTTTCTTGTTACAATGGGTGCCACTCTCGCACTTTCCTTTCCATCTTGATGGAATTTCAGGCATCCCCTCGTCACTAAAGCTCTCACTTTCAGCCCAAACTCCAGTATCCACAAACCCAATTATAACATCACTGCCGTAATTCGAGAGCAGGACACCCGAATCCGAGCTCAGGCCAAGGAAGTGAGAGGAGTGAGTGGTGTCAACTTGTAGAGATGAATCAGGGACAGAGGAAACATAGCCGGGAGACTTCTGTAAAGCCTTGAGCTCAGATGGGGTGATACTTGCACTGAAACCATTGATGGCATGATTATAAGTATGGATCAGCTTAGAGGGCAACATCCCAAGCCGAGGATTATCAAGAACAGAGGAAAGTGTGGCAGAGTACCATGTATGGTGGGTGGCAAAGGGCTTGGGCATGGCGGCTAAGTCCATATGGACGATGTAATTGTCTGTCTCTGTGGAGGCAGAGGGCAGCAAGAACCAGAAGATGGCAATAAACAAAAACCAAAAGTAGAAACAATTATGAGGTTGTGCTACTGCTGCCATTGATGATCAGTACATGGGTAATTAACCCTCTGCAACTGCAAGATATATATAATCAGTTCTCCTCAATACACCCTTTTTCTTTTTCCCATTGGTCTCTGTTGTTGTTTTCTTGAAGTAGGGCCCAGCCATATTCAACACATCTCTAATTCTGATGAATCATTCAAACTTTAATATGACATATTTTTTATTGCCCACTGTTCAACTATGGGTAAATTCATGTTAGCTGACATGAATAGGATAATTGTTAATTTAATCCATTGGAATTTTGATATTCATGGGTTAGAATTTATAAACAGAGTCTGCATCTGTAGGTGCTAAATCATGTTGTTTATTCTAAAGCTAAAACGAGCTATGTAAACCCAAGTTCTACAAACTCAGGCTTATAAACCCACAATTAGTGTAACTCGTTTTTTTAAACCATCAAAACTCAAATTATACACATCTAAACTTCTCAATTCTAGGGTTCATAAATCCAAGCTAGTTAAACCAGGAGTCAAATATCTCCTCAAGCGATTGTTGATCTTACAAATAATTTTATCAGTACATTATCAATTGCTTTTAACTTAAACGCTTTGTCTTTAATCCCTCCACAATATATTTTTTCACTAATTATATATTTGTACACACTCGCAAACTTCTTTCCACATGCACTTTCTCACCGATCTTTCTATTCTTTCCAACACCAGTTGAACCTATATATTTCTTCATCCATCTCTCTTCAACTGCACTTTCTCTTAACATGTATTTTATCTCACCAATTTCTCTTATTCAATTTAATTTATTTGCAATCTCAATTGTTTCAATTTACTCTAGAAGCACTTCTACTTAAAGAAATGCTTGTAAAAGTCTAGAACCAGAGAAATTACTTGAGAACACTGAGACTAAAAATTATAGTTTTACTATGAATGGCAGGACTTGTGAGTGCTTCTTTAGAAGTATTTTGCTATTATAAATACATAATAAATAAATAAATGTTTGAAAGAAAAAAGTGTAGATTCAAGGAGGAGGAGGAGAAGGCTTTTCTTTTACCACCAGCATTTATTCTCAAATGCGAAATTCATAGGAACAAAGGAAAAAGAAGATTCAAGATAGGGAAAATGGCTATCTGTAACTTGGGAAAAGCACATATTGAGTTATACTTTTATATGTAAGAGAGGAGCTATAAACAGCGACCCAGAAGTCAGGCTTTTTGGGGCTTGAAAACAGAAATGCCAAAAAGTAAGCAAGCAAAAGAGAAATCTAATAACTTTATACAGAGAACAATACCAGAAGAACTTAAAGGGAGTGGTCCAAAGATTCTAAATCCAAACACACAACAGCAGTCCTTTCCTGTACACAAAAGAAAAAGCTTCCCCTTCCCCTACACAGACCAAAGTCCCCACTCCTTTAAATCTACCAGCCACAACAGTAACGCTTGTGAAAATGTGGGACCCCATTTAATTCTAATCACACTCACCAAACTTCTGTAGGGTAGGGACCCCCATTTAATTCTAATCACACCCACCAAACTTCAAGGAAAAAAGTACTCATCTTCACTCTTTGCCATCCTTGATTTATGGCATTTCAGTTAAATCAGCTTTATGAACTAAAGATTTGACCCAAAAGGTATCAACTGTCCTTCCGACTGCAGTAATTACAGTTACAAATAACTAATTTTGGTGATGATAATCGTTAGAAGATGTGGGAGACCGAAAACCCAAAAGATTATACAAAAACATTATACAGATTGTTCGGTACAAGTGCAACAGTGGGGAGGGACTGCCGGGAAACAATTTATGATAAGATTTTTTCCAGCATTTGGAAGAATAGTGTAGCCTGATTGATAATAATGTGAGTTGGGCATACAAGTTCATTCAGAAGCCTCCCCGTCAACTGAGTACGAAAAGAGAAGGTCTACATCACCTTAAAGTGTGAGGTTCACGAGGCTGTTGTTCTTCAAGTTCTTGCTTTCTCCATAGATGTTGGCTTGCTTGGGTTGCTCCACTTTCATATCCACTGCTGTCTCCAGATTCACTCACAAGCCTTTCCATGAGCCTTTCCTTTAGAAGCGATCGTCCCGGTTCCCGTCCCACTCTACGATCCTAAAAATATTTGCAGAAAGACAATGGTGGACGATAAGACTTAGAAACAGGAAAGACCAGGGATATATTTCAAAGCAAATAAAAGACTGTCTTCTAGTTTAAGTAACTCATTTGGTGATTCTTTACAAGTATTTTTCCAAATAAAAACTACTAGAAAATAAATTTATTATTTTGTTAATTGAAAAAATAATTGTTCATAATTCATCTACAATCATTAACTACAAAACTGAAGCAAATAATTCAATCAAACCAAGATAAACACTCTCATGTATCATGTTGGCCGAAGTAATTGAAGAAATGTTGTTTACTCACATCTCGGAAAGGAAACTCGTCAGCTTCAAGCATATGAATTACATGCCCCATTTTCGGCCTCTTCTGAATGTTAGGATCCACGCACCGTAAAGCTACTAACAGAGCACGTTTAAGAGCCCTTGTTGAAGGCTTCTCAGGCAACTTTGGATCCAAAATTCCCTCTGCGTTTCGATTACTAACCATTGTTTTAAGCCACTCAACTAGGTTCACCTGTAAGTTCGACCAACAAATTGACATGAAGAGTTGGGGAAAATAGTTGCCTATATAGGCATAGTTAAGCAATGACAAGAACTCTGGACGTGTGAAAACAAACCTCTCCTGGAGGGCGGCTATAATCTACTGGATTTCTCCCTGAAATTATCTCCATAATGAGAATACCGAAACTATATACATCACTTTTTTCATTTAACATGCCAGTACTAGCATATTCTGGAGCTACATATCTACAACACAACTCAGATGGCAATGCGTCAGTTACTCAACCAGATCATGAATTTAAAACTAGAAATCAAGTGATACATTTCACACTAGAACTTAGACTAACCCGAAAGTTCCCATCACACGGGTTGTCACATAACTCCTCTCTGAGCCGAGAAGCTTTGCTAGGCCGAAGTCAGAGACCTTTGGATTCCATTGCTTGTCGAGCAAAATGTTACTTGACTTGATATCACGGTGAACCACCTTAGGCTCAAGCCCCTCGTGCAGGTAGGTTAACCTACGTTTCTATGAAGTCAAAACCACGCAATAACCTGCAGAACACAACTTGTATCCACAAGCAAAATAGTGGAAGAAGATACAACTTAGGACATACCCCTTTGCTGTTCCAACAATTATATTCATTCGAATGTCCCATGTGAGAGGGCTACAAGGTCCAACTTCTCCATGAAGCCACTGTTCCAAGTTTCCATTATCAATGTACTCGTAAACAAGCATCCTACACAGTAAAACAAGCAGATTTTTTACAGACGATCCCAAATTACCTCAAGAGAGTACCTTTTTCGGTATGTTTTATATAGAACAGTTTCTTAGAACTATTCTTAAAACCAGTTTTTTTAGAACAGTTACTCACAAGTCATATTGAAGATGAAACTCAACAGGGAGTAAATTCAAGGAGAATCAGAATACCTATGAGCTCCTTCAGCACAATAGCCGAGCAAACGCACCAGATTCTTGTGCCGAACACGTCCAATTGCTTCCACTTCAACCTTAAACTCCTTCTCAGCCTGTCCCCTGTAGCAGCATTATGTATCAAATTCAATAGTGGATCCGAGTAAAATAAGACCAGAGCTCGCAGCATAATGACATATATGCAAGAAATTGCAAGGCTTCCGAGTGAGAACGAGAAGAACCTGTTATTGAGCAAATTTTTTACAGCTACAATAGTATTGTCCTCGAGAACACCACGGTAGACAATACCATATCCACCCTCACCAATCACATTTTCATCCGCAAAACCATTAGTAGAATACTCCAGCTCTCTGAGAGTGTACCAATGTCCCCAACCCAAATGCGATACCTCTGGCACAGCCAACGGTGCCTGATCGCCTGACCGAGCTTCTCCGCTGCCGTGGGACGAACCGCCGCCTTTCTCCGGGTACGAAATCCGGTGGTCCTTCCCAATTTCAATGTGAATTCTATGACGCCCACTCACTGGGCTCCCTTCTTCCGTCTGAAGCAGAGTGGCCAAAGGCTCTGCCTCCGGCAACGGCTCAGGATTAGAAGCCAATTGAACTTTTGGGTCAGAATGAGTTGGGTTCCGCGAATGGTCGATTCGTATTTCCTGGATTTCCTTGGAGACATTTGGGATAGTGGGGTTCAGAGAGGGCTTAGATTTAGAGGAACTGTTGCGCCTGGAGGTGAACCATAGCGAAATGAGGAAGAGAACGATGACAATGGCGGCACCAACGCAAATACCCAGAACAACCCACAAGCGCAAACCAAAAATGGAGGTCCGCTTCGAGAGCTGGTCATTCAAGAAGGCATAATTAGACATCTTCCCCCTTCCTTTTCCTCCTCCTCCTCCTCCTTCTCCACTTCTCCCTTCTTCTACAACTGCTTCAGACTGGTTCTTCTCACGGAGACAGCCACGAAAGGAGGAGGACAATTAGTCCCAGAGGCTAAAACAGCGATGCAGCAAGTAAAATTGAAAAACCGAAGACAAAAAAAGAACTGCACATTCCCACTCAATCAGTGGGGTTCACAGAGAGAAAAAAAGCTGGCATGATGGGACTTCTACTTCTAGAATGAAGAACCACCACTAAGCTTTAAGCTTTCTTTATGTGCAATGCTTCTATATCTAACCCATTTTTGACCCATCTTCCCGGCGGTGGCTACCTCATTTTCCACGGTAAGTTACAAACAATTTCTGAATTTGAGGTGGGCTTACGTTTCTATTGATCAAACCATTTTCATTTTCAGATTCTTTCTCTGGAATTATTTTCAATGAAACTGCTTGAATTGTCTTATTTGATCAATTAGAGTTATAAAATATGGTAATGAAATAACCCAATTGTTAAGAACATAATAGCGACAATAACTTTTGTTGTATCTGATTGTTATTTGGTACAATAATGATAGTGTAATTGGTAAAGTCTTCAATTGATTTTAAAATTTCTGTAGCGTGCAACTTAAAGTAATATGTTTGGCATATCTAAAGAGAGTGATCACGGACTTCGTATTCAAATGATAGAAAAAGAGAAATCCAAAAGTTGAGAGCTTAATTAATTGTAGCATCTAGCTTAGACTAATTAATTACTTACTTAAGTACCATTATGTTTTTCTTAGCTAAAGTTGAAATTGTTTTGGTAATGTGTCTATTTTCTATTTCTAATTTTGATAAATGTGATTAACTTTTAAGACATTTTGAGTGTAGATTTGTTCTTATTTGTTTTTTTACGCCTTCCATATTTTTGAATATTAATAAAATTGCTATTTTTTTAGTTGTTACTCATAAAGTTCATATCAATTTTTTTAAAAAAAAAATGATACAGAAAAAAGTAATGTTTTTATGTTTAAAACATTAATTTTCAAGTGAACTTATTATTATTTTTTTTTTTTTTGCTATAAAATTTTAAGGAATAAAAAATAATAGATACTGATCAGATACTTTTTTCCCTTCTTTATCATTTTTTTTCTCAGGAATAGGAGACATCATTCAGAAAGAAAAATAAATAAATAAGACAAAAAAAAAAAGAAATGAAAAAGTTGGGCCTGGGGAATCATCCTGTGGTGCCCTGCCCCTACCACTTTCCCATTTTCAAATTATTTCTTTTCCTTAAAAATAAAGTTCGTGTATTGCTAATTTCTTTTAGTTTGATAAAATTCTTTAAAATATTATATCTATTAATTAATTTTTACATTCAAAGGAATAATTTAGACTTTTATTGGTGAACGTCTATTGATAAAATACATATATACACAACAAATTTTATTTCTAAGCCCAAAGTTGCATATATTGGTATTGTTTTATTTTTACATTTAGACTTTGTATTGTTTCTCATCTTATTATTATGACATATGGGGAAAAAAAACGTATATAAAAAAATCTGAGTCCTGCACAAAATTATCTAAAATTTATGTATTTGCAGGAAAAAAGAATCCCAAAGAAAGTTAGGATGTGTTTATCCCACAAGAAAAGAAACATTTTGAATCAATGAATTAAGAAAATTGAGATCTAATTTCTAAATTTGTCACCAAATACCTATTAAAAAATAAATGTCTGATTTTTATTTCCTATTGAATCAAAGTAAAAATTTAAGGTTGACAAAATTGCAAGATTTTCAACATTAATAGCTGATGATGTCTTAGAAATGTCAAAAGTCTCTATTTATCGATCAAAATATTGATAAAATATTAATGTCAATAAATATTTCTAGAAAATTTATAAAAATAAAAGGTATATAAAAAAGTATTCAAATTAACAAATAAATATTTTATTAGTTAAAAATTTTAATATTAATATTATATCGATGTTATTTTGTTGATATATTTTATATTCCATCGACTTTTTAACAACATTATGAAAATGTCGAACTAATGACATAAAATTATGGGATGGAAATGCCAACAAAAGTTTAATACCTCCATTAGAAACATATTTAATAGAAAATTTCCAATAATTGTATTATGTTAAAAGAAATTAGTCAAACAATGCTGCTATTCATTAAAGAACTCTGCCTTCCTACTTTAAAAAATTAATAAAGAACAGTAATAATAATAATAATGCTACCTCGTAAAGTAATAAATCATAATAAAGAGTGTCAGTCAAGGTTACATAATTAATTACCTCTCCCAAGAAAATAGAATTTGACTACTGTACAGTCAACAGTGTACACTACGCCGCAGTTGCCTGCTTTTAATCTTTCTAGGGCACCAAACTCTCTTTTCCCTTTTTCCGAAGGCCACCAAAATTCATCTTTAATCATTCACCTTCATATGCCCATTGCTCTTTATCTTTCTCATATAAGACATATTCTCTTGGGCCTCCACGCAAGGGGAGAATCTGGCCCTCACCCTCAGCCCAGGCCATGTTTCTTTACTTCAAATCAATCAAACTTTACTCACTAATCAACAAAATCATATGATTTCATGCTTTATTGTTATCTAGAACTAGTAAACACAGCCAGTAATCCAACATCATGAGAATGAGAACAAAGTTAAATGGAATTTTCATATAATATGAAGGATATTTATCTAAAAATATCCTGCCAAAGAGCCAGCATTTCTCTTGTTTCTTTTGTTGACAGCAATACAAGGCAAAATAATGCTCTACTCCACATCACTGTGCAGATGCCAGATATTATCATTGGCAAGGAGTTCGGACCACCATTTTCGCTCTCCCCAAAAATATTTGGCAGCTTCTATCACCTTTCTTTTCGGATAAAGCAGAAGATGTAGATTTGTGCTCATTTCTATGTTGCCTATTTGATACTTGAAGATATGGTTCTTAAAAATATAGAGTCAAAGGTTTAATATCAAGATTATGTTAAACTATTCTAGAATAGATTTTTGGTAAGTGTGGAAGTAGAACTTTATGCAGTTTCTATGTAATGTTTGTAGTTGAAAATCCACAGGGAAGTAAAGGAATTGCTTCATTAGAAAGGCCATACTCTAGTGAGCAGCATCCTGCACAGGACTGCACTAAGATGCGTCTGCTGAGTCCTTCCCTGTCCTGGCACAATCTAATTGCGTTGTTGGTCGAGCATCCTACATATTTGCAAGAAAACAATTGGTGCCATTACCACAAACCCAGAAAAAAGTTAGTTAATGTTGTTGTTATGGTTACCTTGAAATTGGCAGAGAGATCAAATTGTCCATCGTAAGCCTGTATTGCAGGTTCAAACCCGAATGTGGTTTCTGAAGTTGTGGTATTTGGTACAGAAGGGATGGCTATCGACTGATCTGAAATGCTACATTTGTTGGAAAGATTGAATGTAGATTGCAGGGGACACCCTTCATTCCCCGAAGATGACGCGTCTATGCCTTTTCTGGATGTTAGAAATGCATTTCCTACATCAAAGTCCAACCCCATCTGAGGTAGTGGAATTGGCTGCAGCATTCCTGGTAGGCACATTGGTTGCAAACTCAAGCCATTTCTCATTGATAACATCTGCAAAGCCAAATGTCATTCATTACAAGTTTAAATATGTTCATCAAACTACGGTCGTCGGTCGGCTTTGTTGACCCAAAGGGAAAATGGAATATGTTCTTAGTTCCTCTTGACCTAGCATAACAAATACAGTAATATAGCCAGAAATGAGCAATGAAAACAGGTGATATTTAAAAAGTAATGATCATGAGAAGAAATCTCCTAATTCTCATTTCTGAGATTTCACGCCAAATCCATGAATTACATTATATTGAGATGAATACTATCTAACATAAGTCAATTGACGCAAGTTTGAGGACTCTCTTCATACAAATTGCCTACAATATCAGTACAATTTGAGAGTTTTTTCACTGAAGAGAGAAAAATGCCATAATCAGAGAGACCAGGATAATTTCAGTATTATAGTTTCCCACAAAACTAAGGAAAAAGCTTGACTTAGTGAACCATCTTCTCTTGAGAAGTATAATTTTGGCTATGCTGCTTAGGGTTCAAACTCGTATAACAAGAGGGCAAAAAGTAATCCGACACAAAGTGGTGGCGGTGATGGAAGGAGATCTCCTGCCTTTTTAAACCGAAAATGTCCCAACAATTCTCATAACAACTCCTAGACGGACTCATTCAGTCTTTAGAAGTTCTCTGATTTGTTTGCAAGCCTAATTCAACGAGCCTGTCCAGTTTTACTCGACTCATATCATGTGGACGAAAGAACACTGCCTTTACATATATCAGCATACAAGATTCTGGATGGTCCACATTCATGGATTATTTGTGGTCAGTATAAGGGATGGGGCCATATAAAAGAGAGGAGAACCATATCAAATACAAGTGACACCATGATCAAATTCTCAGATCCATAGCACCAAAACAAAATCTGGAAAGAAATAAAGACGCCCACCTGCACTTGAAGTTGAAGCTGCTTCAAATACTCAATTGCTTCGTCCAGCATTGAAGCCTTGTCCGTCTGTCAAAAGCACAAGCTCATTGTAATTCAAAGTATTTAAAAGTGAATCTGTCCCAATCTTGAATTTGACAAACATACCTTGTTCGAATTCGGAATTAGGTTCTGAAGGGCTTTCATTTTCTCATTGATCCTTCTTCGTCGTCTCTGGCCCACCCACCAATAACATTAGCAAATGTTAAGCAATGAAATGGTCGTAATGTTAACTTAAAACACAAGAATATTTAGACATTGGGGACCCAATATGAAGCTGACCTTCTCCGACATATTATGAACCTCAGCGCTTCTACTTCGCTTCGAGGAGCTTCGAGGCAGATCAGTACTGGACGGAACATCCGGCACATCGCCGCCCTTGGAAAGCTCACACAAAATCAAATTAACTTATGGACAAACAAAAGCTTCATTTGGGCAATACAAAACTTATATATCGAAAATTGTAACAAACTACCTCGCTATCGCAACTGAAGTCACCAAGATCATTTTCCGATGAAAGTCCCCTTCTCTTCAACGGCGCATTAGAATCAGAATCGACAGCGCCGGAGGAAGAAAACGCGTTGTCTGAACTTTCCTTGGCGACAATACTGACGAGATCCCCAGGATCCGACAGTTTTCCGCCGCCGCAAGTGGAGTTCACAGCCACATACGAACCATCGGCAAATCTCACATCCCCAACACTACAATCCGAGAAGGCGTGGTTCAAAACACGACTCGACTGAAGCCGATCCTCCGGAAAGTCCAGCATGCAGGACACTCCTGCGGCAGGCTCCGGCCGCCGCGAAAACAGAGACGAAGGGTGCCAAGGAGGTTGAGAATGCAACAACGGCATGAACCGGTTCTTGAAGGAGACGCAAGAAGCAGGAGAGGAAGCAGAAGAAGCGGTGAGAAGGTGTTGATTGATTAAGGAAGAGAAATCTTCCGGGTCATGGGGGAGACCAACATCCGAAGAAGGGGAAGTTCCGTACAGATCCGCCATGATTAAGGAACAAAAGGAAGAAACGATCAAGGGGGAAAACGGAAAAGTGGGAAGAATCAAGCAAGGCCGGAAAGATTACGTTTGGTTTGTTTGTTTGAATTGAATTGAAGTGAGAATTGTGCGCAAAAACGGTTTTGAGTGCAAGGAAATGGATATTTGTTTGTTATTGTTATTGTATTGCTTTGTGTGTACTTTTTCTTGGATTCCGTCTTATCTTTTTCCGTTGTCTGTTTTTGTTGGGTAGAAAGCAGGGAATGGAGATTAAGGTTTTTAATGGAGTTTTTTTGATGTTGCAGACTTCTGGTTCTGGTCTGCCCCCCGAGGTTCAACCTCTCTCTCTGCTTCCTAATCCTAACCCTCCCGCCTTAATCTTTCTGTGTTTCCCTTTTTAATTTTTTCTTCTTTTTATACCCATAAATGGCTTCCTTTTCAAAATTTGGCCCATTATTTCTCTTATTTACAAAGTTTTCCCAAAATAGTCCATTTCTCTTTTACCTAATTTCCCTTTTTGTCCCTTTCTTTCTGGATAATAACGTAATTAATGCGAGCGGTTGCTTTTATTTTGTTCGATCTCTCTTTGCTTGTTAATGACCATCTTGCCCTTCGTATACCTATTCTTCTTTTAGGTTAATTTTTTCAACTTCTAATGTTGGTCCTTCGATTTGAAAAATATTTCAGTTAAATCAACGAAGTTGGAATTATACTCTTTATTTAGTTCATGTTCTTAGTACAATTAATGACATGTTAGCATGTAGTTCAAAAAATGTGAAGGGAGTAAAATTAAACCTTCGTAGACGCTTTAATAATTATGTTTAAGTTGGTGTGATGTGTCGCTCAAGTAAAATTTATTTAATGTATACGTCATTTCATTATTTTGTATTCTAGTTTTTAA